ACATGTGACTATTAGCAGTTCTGTAAGTCTTCTTTCCCTCCTCTCTTCACTCAATTTGAAATGTTAATATCTTCTAATAAAGCAAAATATTTTGCTTGTAAATTCTTTTAATTCTTCTCTTGATCCATCAGAAGTATCTTTGCTTGACTTTCCACTTAGATGCATATGACCCAATAGAGACTTGATTCTAACTCCATCCATGGTTTCTGCTATCATCTCTAAACTGGATCCACACAAAGTATGTCGACTTGATGGTATCTTTGCAATAGTCCTTAAGAAATAAGCTCTGGCTCTTGTTCTCTCTAAACTCTACAATTAATACCTTCTTGCTTTCCTGCTTGCTGGAAATCTCTAGTCCAGTCTTTAAGAATTCAGGCAAACCATTTGATCCTTTCTAACACTTTTTGGCAAAATAATAGAGAGTCTAATTAACTCTGAATTGGTTAAGCATCTCAGATCACAGGATTTTCTTTTGAATAGCAATATGGCTTCTGCTGATGTATTAATGAAAATTGCTGAAAGAGTCTATCAAGCTTCAGATAAGAATCATGAAGCTCAGGCTGTTGCTTTGAATTTGGCATACTGGTCTTCTTCACAAGTTGAAAGGTTATGGTATTTCTAGACAAATTTTTGAACTGGTTCAATGTTATCAGATCATGAAATGAAAGTTGTCTTGAATGGCAACTCTTCTAGATCTTTTTGCATAAATGCAGGTGTTCCATAGGGCTCAATCCTTGGATAATATATTGTATGCTAACAGTTTCTTCTGTCACACTTCACACTCATAGAACTCTCTTCTGACTACTTGCTTCCCATGCAACTTTGATCTTCAAAAATTTAAATGCAATGCCAATTGTTATCTTCTGTCATCTTAATTCCTGTTCCTTTATTGTTCTCTCTCCTTAAGAGTAGTTTTTCTCATATACTATAACACTCAGTAATCTCTTGAGTCTTAGTGGCTTTATTGCCTTGCTTGGTGTGAAATGATTAAAAAAAAAAAAAAAAAAAAAAAATCAATGCTTAAAACTGACAGCTGAGTAAATGTAAGATTTGAATTTCTTACATGAAGCCTTGTCAATTATTATTCATTTTTCACTAGGATTTTTCATCTTATTTCTCTTGCTTTTTATTCCACTAGTAGTATTAGATGTAATAAAGCATGGTGCAGCAGAGATACCTCAGGCATATATATATATATATATATATATATATATATATATATATATAAAATCACTTTAAACATTATTTTACAGGGTGCGATGGGTAAATTGTCGCCATTTTATATTTTTAATTTCACACATGTGCATTATTTGCTTTTGATCTTGTCAACTTCACAGAATAGTAGGGTCAGGTAGACACCATCTGTGAGAAAAATAACATCATAACACAATTCACTCTTCCAGAAATTTGGACATGGCATGCTGTACTACTTGGAATTTGTGCTGGAAGATCCAATACAAACATTTCAGAGTGTCTGTGTGTCAATCTGAGGAAAGTGCTGAGGATTCAGAAAGCGTTGGATGATATATCCAGCCAACATCATGGTGTTTGGAGTGATCACTAGTGATGGTGACGTTATACCGCCATTCATCTTCCCACAGAGTCAACACGAAGAATTACATCAAGTGCCTTGAAGACGTAGTGCTGCCCTGGGTCCAGAGAGCGGCTGCTGGAAGACCCTATGTCTGGCAACAGGACTCTGCACCATGTCACACAAGCAGGAGAACCAAGTCCTGGCTGTCAGACAATTTTTGCAACCACACCACCCTTTACATCTGGCCACCTTACTCCTCAGACTGCAACCCCCTTGATTATTATAGGTGGGGCACAGTTGTGCAATAGACCAACAAAACTCCTTGTAATACCAAAGATGAACTGAAAGCAAAGATTATGGAAGTATTCATTAACTTAAACAAGGAGACTGTCCAAAAGTGTTGCAGGAGATTCCGAGGTCGTTCAGTGGCTGAAGCCAATAACGATTTTATTGAATAAAATTATTCTTTAATATTTCAAGATACTTTTGTGTAATTTTGGTAAGTATATGTATTCATATGAGACGTAAGTGTTATTTTCATTTTTGCGTCAATTAGAAAATTTTTCCATGGCACCCTGTCCCTCCCACATTTGTGGTAATGGTGTCTTCATGTAGCTAATGGTGTCTTCATGTAGCTAATGCCTTACCATTATGTGGGGAGGTATTTCTGCCACATCCTACATTTACATTTCTTACATGAAGTATTGTCAATTATTATTCATTCTTGACTAGAATTTATTTCATCTTATTTCTTATTACACTAGTAGTATTGGACACACTAGTATTTAAATTTCTTTGTCAATTGCTTTTAAGTAGTCATTGTTTGAGCTTAATAAAAATAATATATTTGCAGAAATCTTTCTTTCTTTCTCTCATCTTGGCTTCCCAATCCACTGACAGCCAAAATACATTCTTAATCCACTATCCTAATTCAGCAGATATACAAAAATTGAAAGGGCGTAAAACAAGGATGTGTCTTCTCACCAGACTTATTCAACCTTTACAATAAAGCAATTCGGAATTCCTACCAGGATTCATTATTGGTGGCCACAGTCTTAACACTTGAAATGCAGATGACACAGTGTTGATGGCAGACACAAAAAGGAAACTACAAGACCTTTGACAGAAGATAGTGAAGGAAAGCAAGAAGAAAGGACTAAACATCAACTCTAAGAAGGTAGATTGCATGGTTGTTAGCAAAAGAAACAGCCTAACATACAAATCACAAATTGGAGATACAAAAATTTTAATATCTACGAAGTGTTTTAACAAAAGACAAAGTGTGACACTGAAATCCAAAGGTGCATTGGGATAGTGAAAGATGCCTTCCAAAAGCTAAGCAGAGAATTAGGAAGCAGGAAAATCTTGTTAAAAAAGTACTGGAATGTTATGTAATGTCAGTCCTCCAATATGGCAGGGAATACTGGACAATCTAATCATAGATGGAGAAGAGATTTGAGGCAACAGAAATGTGGTTCTACAGAAGCATGCTGAGAATACCATGGACTGAACATGTGAGCAACAACAAAGTTTTAGAGACATTAGAAACAAAAAGGACATTTATGCATTGCATCAGCAAGAAAAATTTCTAGGGAACATAATGAGGAAATAAGGCTTGGAAAATTTGAAACTCACAGGATATATAAATATGACAGACAGAGGAAAGCAGCACATAACACCTGCCTTTGTGTAAATGGTTGACAGGACAGGGATTAAGAGATCTAGTAAAAAGACTAACTTTATTAAAGGCTACAAAGGATAGGATATTGTGGAGAGCTATGATCACCCATGGCCCATAGAAGAAGAATCACTCCTACTCTTTGTTTTTGTTCCTATTTCTTCTACTTTGGTCATTGAGGAATGTGGTTTTCATTTTGGGACAAAAGTATTTCAGGGATGAGTAACATGAATTTACCCTAACCAGAAACGATCGTGATAGTATGCATATTCCACCCCACTTCCTTTCGTTGATATGCTTGTTTAACCGTCAAACTTTGAATTGTGTATTGAAGTCGAAACATATCTAAGTAGTTAAACCAGTTTGGTCTCTTTTTTGTCATTTACAATTTGGCAAAATAGGTCACTCTTGGAGGGGGAGTAGGGTAACATATATATTGCAATATTGTGGAGATAAAGAATTTATTTTTAAAAAGAGTAGTTTTATTCCTTGTTATAATGAAAAAGTTAAACAGACCTCGTGGCTTACCCAGGTATATTAACTATTGTCGGGTGGCTTTAATCTTGTTCAGGATAAGAATTTACACTGATAAGAATACCTGCACTGATATATAGGCCAAAATCCTCCCACACACAACTTTTTCATAGCCATACATGCACAAGAAAAAAAAATAAAAATGTTTTTCAGTTTTTAATAAAATGTAGTAAAGTTAAAAACTTCTTTATTTTCTTCTTTATTTGGGTCCCAAAAAATTCAAACATTTTAAGATTACTTATAAAAGGCCTTCTGCCTTATCACTCATTGTCAATAACAAAATTGGTTGATTGAGGCATTTTTCTACTATTAAAATATAAATTATTTTACTAACATTTTTTCATACATGTAAATTGATTTTTTTTTTTTTTTACAGCTCACCAACTTTTATCAATTTTAAATATTTTTAGATTTTAAGAATTTTTGGGAAGATAATGATTTACTGACACAAGTCCTACTACTTAATCCATAGCTGGGGGGATAAAAAGTGGTTTGGTTTGTTTTATGGCATATCAACATCAATGGGTTATTTAATGCCAACAAGATTTTTATTGTTGGTAATATTTTTTTTTCAAAAATCTGTTTCTGGTAATATTTTTTTCTTTGAAAAAAAAAAAAAAAAAAAAAAAATCTGTTTCTGGTAATATTTTACTTACAAAAAGCCTATTTCTGGAAATATCATTTTTCTTCAAACATGTATCACTGGTAATATGTTTTTCAAAAATGTATAGCTGGTCATGATTTTTTTTTTTTTTTTTTTTACAAAGTATTTCTGATATTAAAACCTATTTTTACACTTTCATAGTGTTTTGAGCCAAGTTTGGGGGTTAACTATTTGCCCATAACTGGGACCCTAACAGGTGCTACCACCCCGGGTCAGGGTGAACTTGGGAACATCAGCAATTAAGAGGTGCTTCCATGTTCCTCAAAACCTCCTGATCAGTGGCCTTGCTGTTGGATGTAGTTTATCGTCTTACCCAGGACGCACAAGAAAAAGTGAATTCATACATTTCCCAAAAGTATTTGTACATAAGTGAATATAACGAATCCAACAAGGAATCTAACATGGCTTTACAATTTCCAGTTCCAAGCCATTACACCACCTGCACATCCATGCTTACAACACCTGGTATTCTCAAGCAGTCACCTATGTAGGTAACCAGATTCAATGTTGCTTAACTTTCATAATTATACAAGAACCAGTGTTTCAACATGATATGGGTGTAAGCCATACCACCCATAAAACCAAGCTTATAGCATCTAGTATTCCTGAGTGGTTACCCATCTACTTACTAGCCAGGCTCAACATTGCTTAAGTTCAGTGATCATATGAGAACCAGTGTTTCAATATGATGTGACTGTGAGCCATACTAACCAAATGTTCAAGCTTACAGTATCTGGTATTCCCGAATGGTCACTCATCTTAATACTGACCAGGCTTAAAATTGCTTAACTTTGGTGATCATATGAAAACCAGTATTTTAATATGATGTAACCATGGGCCATACCAACTGCATATCCAAGCTTATGGCAATTGGTATTCCTGAGTGGTCACCCATCTAAGTACTGACCAGGCTCAACATTGCTTAACTTTGGTGATCAGACTAGAACCACAGTTCCAACATGATATGGCTTAAGTCTGTAACTAAATGGGAAAGTAAGCTTGAAGTACCAAACTTCAGTGGATGAAGAAACTTTTACAAAACAGCCCGACTTAATTGTTCCTTTTAAAGACAGATGGACAGACAGTCTTCATTTAGTTTATTAACTTAAAATAATATTAATCATATTTCATTCTTGGCCTTGTGCCAGACTTAATATCTGTGGGCTGATGATTTATGATAATCTATCCGTTCTTCATAAAAATAATGTTGTAGATGAATTGAAGTCGGTTTTTTCAGTTGGTTTAATAAAATATTTGTATTTTAACTTTTTTTTTTATATATATATATATATATATATATATATATACACACACACATGAGAATTATAATAATCTACCATTATCATTTTTTCAATGGATTCCAATTATTTTATCTTTCTGAGATCAATGGTTAAAAATGGCTATGAGCAAGTGAGAAGGTCTGGACAAAGATCATTCCTCTTTGAATATTATTGACTAGCACTACAGAATAACAAAGAACAGTAGCAGATAACAGAAACCGCATTACTTGAAGACTTTCAACAACAGCAACTACTAAAATGGATAGCACATGTAACTTGAAGAGAAAATGATGACAATCAAGATGTTGACATTCCACACCATTTCAAACAAAATGTTATGAAGGAAATTCCCATCAATACTAGAAAGAGCAATAACAGCTATTGGACTTGAAAAATCTATTTTTCTGAAAAATTGTTTTAAAGACAAAGATTTTATACATTCAACCCACATGTCAAGGAATGCTGAATGTTTCCTTATAAAGAAAGGGCTAATATTATTACCATTACTATATTGAATAAACAAACTATAATACAATTCTTTTTGTGATAGTGTTAAAGATGAAGAATCTTGCAGAATAATGGAATTAGTTTTTCAATCAAGTCAAATTTTGGTTCAGATTTTCTGTTTAACAAAAACGACTGAATACCTGGATCAGTTAAAATTGACCAATCAAACGATTTAGTTTCATTTTTTGAAAAATGTTTTCAACATTTTTTTAAAATTTGACAAAACTTTTTTCACATATGCTCTGCTAAATGTTGAAATTTAGAGACAAAATCATTTTTTCCAGCAAAATATCCTTTGTCTATACTTGTAAAAGTCAGCTTAAATATCCTGTTTTGTATTTGCAAATATTTTTCTACAATTAATTATTTTATGTTATCTGATGGTTACTAAGCATAAAGAAAACTGTTTTTATTTCTAATATTTTCTAAAATAAAAAAAAATATTCTTTGTTTTGGTGCTTCTATCAAGAGATTCTTGACAGTATCCAAAGAATCTGCAATGTTATTGGTCTTGACCTGGCATCTTGGTTAAATTGCTTTCCCCACAGCCTTAATATTCCCTGTAAGTTTTCATTAAATGTTTTTATGGTAATTATTCTGATGGGATTTTCTTTGTTACTTCATCTTCATAAATTTAAGCACAGTAAAAATCCTTTTCACATTCAGTTCCTTGAAATTAAAATCCTTTTAATATTCAGTTCCTTGAAATTAAAATCCATTACCTTAAAAAAAATTACTTTGTTTACATTTGGATAAAAAACTGAACAGATATGAAAATTTTGAAGAAATGAATACAAGAAGGATTTCACTTAAAGGCATGCCTGCTCGTCCGACATAACAATGGTTTCCCCTCTGCCAAGAGGGATGCAGGTTTGATTCCTTCCAGAATGCACAGACTTCTCTTTAATAAAATTTTTCAAATATTTACGCTAGTAGATGAAAATAAATAGATTTTTTTAGTAAATAAACTGTCTACTCAAATATGAGCATCCGCTAAAAATTTAAAGTGATAAAAATATATCAGTATAAAAAATATCTGAGAGCAATGCATGTTTGTAATTCCTTTCTTTCCGCTATTCTGTGCCGTCTGTGTATTAAATATTAATGTTAAATATTAATACAAGTTTCCTAACAAAAATATTTTAAGTGCTTACTATTATTAGAAAGTTTTCACATGAGAGTCTAAAATTATTTCCCTATAATAAAAATTAGAAATAATTCAGGTAGGGTTGATTTTATTAATAGAAAACCAATCCCCCAATTAATGTTCAATTTTAAATTAATTCAAATTCACTCATGCCATCAAAAACAATGGTATATTTTGTTAAGTTAGTTTATTCATTTTGTTACTGCATAATGCACAATGACATTGGACAACAGTACCCAGGTGCACCAACACACACACAAAAAATGTTGAATGAAGAAAAGTAATAACATTTAAAATACAATGAAAATTATCAGCATGCAGCAGCATTCATTTTACACAGGGCCCAAGGATAAAAGCTGACCTTCAAGTGATTTGCCCTCAATGGAATTAAAAATGTCACCCTGAGGACAACATTTCAAACGAGTGGTACCAGAAAGGAGACACGGTGGAGTAATGGATAGTGGCTCAGATTGAGGAATTGGAAGGCTGAGTTTGAATTCCAATCGAACCATTACATTCACTCACATGCTACCCTTGGGAAAGGTATGAATCCTCTTTCCTCCCGAGCTATGGGTAAATATCGGGACAGACCAGGTTCTGTATCCTTTGATGGCAACTGGTCTACCACAGAAAGAAATGGCAACATACTGCAGGAAAAAATCTACCTCATCAGTCATGATCACCTAAGCATGTATCATGCATAGCTCATAAATGACTGACTGGTAGCCAGAACGTGTGCGGTTTTTCATTATATTTTTTGTTCTGCTGTGAGAATGAGAATTAGAAATGTCTTCCAAGGAGAGCAGCAAGCAGCAGATTATTTTCTGGTCAACATCTATGACGTTTTGGAGAGCTCTTTTGTGCACTGCCAAGTTGTAGTGTAGAGTCATTGGCAGAAATGTCCAACAAGCAGAATTGACAAAGTTTGCAATAAACAATGACAAAAGAAAGAAAAAAAAACGGTAAAAATAATATTGATCCAACGATATATGCAAGGCTAAGCCACAGTAATAAGGCAAAAAGGTTCACAAACTTAGAATGGTGTTGACATGACATAAGGGATACAGACAAGGAATTATTTACATTATTCAAACAATTTTTCCTCATCTTTGTCATCATATTTATTACATTTCAGCCCTTATATGATCCAGCCTTCTTGAGAAAAATGTACATGACATCTACCATTCCATGGTTTGTTCTCCAAGTCAAATTCACCTTTCAAGAATCTAAGAAACCCTTTGTAATATGTGCTGCTTCCAACCAAATCATTTCCATTGGCTTTATCAGTCATCTTCACTTTTCTCTTGGAGAAAAAAAAAAAGAAAAAGAAAAAAAGAAAAAAGAAAGACATGCACTATTGCACATATACCTTGATTACAAACATTTTTTTCTCAACACAGGATAAATGAACATGGAATGCAGAAAAATAAAAGGCTGGTGTTCTAGAAACTTTTACATACATCTAATATTAATTAAAGCTGCTCTAAATAGATGCTAAACTTATTCCAAACTGGCACAAGGCTACAAACAATAAGTCATCAGTAAAGATCAGCCTCACTACATTAGTAATGCTCTGCAAGATTAGCCTGCCACCAGACAGTTCCATCTCATCTTTATAAGAAGAAAAAAAAAAAGGAGACAAAAAAAAAAAAAAAAAAAGAAGAAATCTATCCATAAAATCTTCACTCACTTATCACCCCAAAATCTGCAGACAGAATAGTTTCTCATAATCTGTAGATTTGCTGACATTTTCCCCTCTTGCTTGAACAGAACAGCTTAATCAAAAATGATCTTTGGTTGGAATCTGTTCAAAAGCATTTATGTGATTTCAATAACACTGCCAAAAGGAGAAAACAGGAATTCAGTTCCATTGCAGAATGTTAATTTCATTGTTTATTCAGTCTAGCCTACAAGATTAGTGCCTTTGGTTTTTTTGAATCTTGTGGATTGGCACTAAAGACTCACAAAGAACTGAACCAAATAACAGAAACCACACCACATGAGGATTTTCAACAGCAACAATATGCCTCTTTGTGATTCTGTAGTGACAGTCCATAATGTTCAAAGAACTAAATCAAATAACAAAGACCACATTACTTGAAGACTTTCAATAGCTGCAACAGCTAAAATGGATATTCTTGACAAGAAAATAATCATATAACCAAGATGTTGATATTCTACATGACTCCAAGCAAAAGGTTAAGGAAACCTTCAATACTAGAAAGAACAATAACAACTATTTGAGAAACCTATTTACTTGAGAATTTATTTTAAAAGAAAGATTTTATTTATTATTTCAACCAATTTTTTTTAAATTTACAGGTTGCTTGGTCAATGAATTGTGAATATTTCCTTAAAAGAAAATGGCTAATGATGTTCAGGAAAATCCCAACATGTGGCATCTTTGGAAAGAGGTTGAAAACCATACTACAGGTTCACCCAAAACTTGTGAGTGAAATTGGGTAGACAGTACCCATGAGGGTCATCAATAGCTGTACTAGTACAAAGTCACAAGTCATCATGACCGAGGGTTTGAACATGCTGGCCTTGTTCAGATTGTTGATCACACAAGATAACATGCTCTTTCCCAGAAACTGTAACTAAGGTCAGCTCAGCATTGTTGCAGGTGGGTTCTGTGGATGTTGAACAAAACACAAATGTGCCTGGGTAAGCATCTTCAATAGGGATTGGCTATACATTTTGAATATTACCTGCCTTATATTTACCAGATAAATAGCCTGTGTGTCTATTTTCAGAAACCAGCAAAATAAGTTTTAAATCATGTTTGTCTAGTTTACCAGGTCTGGAAAAATAGCCTCTTTTTTTTTTTTTTTAATGAGATCTTATGGCATAAATGTTCATGAAATCAATATCCTCATCTCAGAATTGTTTTTTGTTGTGCGTTCCAGATGTGTTTTCTTCAAGTAAGGTTGCCTGATGAGAGACTTCTTTTGTGCACAATTTTCAATTATGTATCTCCACAACTTCCTTTATTTTATTGCTGTTACTCTTGACCCTCCATCCCTTTTTGTCT